AACACGGGAACACATCCCAAGACCACAAAAGACAACAACGACTCACAAGAAGTCTCAAGGTATGGTCTATCATCACACAATAGACCAACACCCGACATGCACAACGCAAAGGAAGTAAAGACACGACACACGGCAACACATGCCTTTGTGACTACACACGTCACAAGAAGAGAACACACAACCACGGCTACACAAGCCCTCGTGACATCACTCATCACGAGTTGATATGCCTTCCTTATGCCCGGTTCCAACCTTATGGCTACCCCCAACCTTATATCTAGTTCCAACTTTTACCTCCAGGACCCCTGTACACCAAGTCCAACCTTATTCCTCCGGGAACAGTCGTTCCCCCTCCAACAGTCCCTCCAACAAAACCACCAATTTCATAGTACACGAGGGTACCGTACACACACACGACAACACATGCCACCCAAGAAATACGTGAACCTTACACAAAGGTCACAACTCCATAATCACGTCACGCCCACCACGAGGACAGCTGCAATACCTTGGTGACTAGTGTCCCATACCACTAATCATGCAATCCAGGTAAAGCCACACACACATCACACCTCAACATGAATCAATCAACGGATCACAACGAAGGTATGAAACCATACTCAATCAAGGAATGGATCACAGTCCAACAACAACAACGATGAATGACACAAGTTATCATCAACCAATAGGAAGGTACAAACAACACACATGCTAGCATTTAAACACCGAACTAGCATGCTCATCAAACGGGTAAACCAAAGATAGTTCCGAAGAACACACAAGACTCATCTCGGTTCAACGAAACACAATGTTGAACACTTAGCACGATTCACGACACCAACACCTACATGGATTCCTACCATATAGTTCTAGACATACGAAACATCAAGAAGACACTTAAATAGTTCCACAAAAGAACATCGGGAAGTCAAAAGACCAAATACCGAGTCAAAAGAATCACGGGGAACAAATCCCCAATCAACCACACTGTGTACCCCGCGGGTGGACCCACGGGTAGGCCTCTACCCGTGGTCCTGCCCGCGGGTACATACACCCACAAGCCACATGTTCCCGCGGGTGGGGCCGCGGGTAGGGCTCTGCCCTCCGTTCCGCCCGCGGGTACATCCTTGTGCCCAAAATAATCCCTTCGGGGATTTTCAACTCCAAGCTCAAATTCAAGTCCAAAACATGCCAAATCTCACCAAATACAACAAAATGATTTGAATCAAAGGAAATGCCAAGCAATGGCACACAAGAACCCTAAACACAAGCTCTAGATATGCATTGTCACAAGACAATGCATAAACACTCACATTTCATAGCAAAACACATGTAGAATCCAAGAAATCATCATATAGGTAAGCAAAATAGATTTTGTAGAGCATGGGTTACCTCTTGTAGACTAAAGACTTCACTTTACACCTCAACAAGCTCCTCTCAAGGCTCACCTTCCAAACCCACTTCAAGAACACACCAAAAGATCATAAAGATCCTATCTTTAAGAAAAGACACCTTAGATAAAACCAAAAACACAAGATGAACTTAGATCTTACCCTCCTAGATGCCCAAATATATGAAAGGTTGAATCTTGGAAGCAAATCTTGAAGTTTTGGCAAGGCTCCAACTTGGCTTGGAAGAAAAGCTACCCACCTTTTTAGAGAGAAGGTGGAGCTAGATTTTTTTAGAAAGTGTAAGGAAAGAATGAAGGTGGTCTAGTAGGTTAGGTTACAATACTAACACCAAGTGAAAGGTCAAGAATACCCTTACTAACATAAGGAAGCGTAAGGAACAAGGGAACTCCTTACAAAGCTCAAGGTACAACTTTGACTTTGGGGTTGACTAGTCAATTACTAGTCCCCAACTAATAAATTCAGGAATTTAAGGAATTAAATTACAAATTGAAATATGATTAATTACTTAATTAATCCCTTAATTGAATTTGGATTTCGGGGTGTCACACCTAGGTTCCCGCCTAGGCGACCAGCCGCCCACCTAGCGCCTAACTCGGCCGAGTTTACTTGTCCATTTCAATCGAGTTAGCCGAGTTAACCTGGCCGACTCGGCCTTGCTAATTTTTTTTTCATTTATATATATATATATATATGTGTGTGTGTGTGTGTGTGTGTGTGTGTGTGTGTGTGTGTGTGTGTGTGTGTGTGTAGACTTGAGTTCAAATGAGGACCGGTATATTATAGAGGACTATGAGTACTAATATGACGTGTGTCGTTACTCTATATGTCGTGTACATAGCCTGATGTAGTCGCGTGCCACAGTTTGTATGTTGCGTGCATAGATTTGTTAATTAATAGAGCCTGTGTTCGAAACCTGATGTTTACATGTATTTTTGTGTGCCATTGTGTATTAAGTTGTGTGCCTGATACTAATTTGTTGTGTGCCCCAATATGGGTCCGCACAGTCCTCTATGTATTTCAGTTCTCATGTGAACTCAACCCTGTATATATATATATATATATATATATATATATATATGTATGTATGTATGTATGTATGTATGTATGTATGTATGTATGTATGTATGTATGTATGTATGTATGTATGTATGTATTGTATGTATAATATGATATATATGCACCTACACGTGCACTATTTTTTTTATTTTTAGTCATTACCCGCCTAGGCCGTCTGGGCGCTAGGCGACTACTCTATTGCCCGACTAGTGTCTAGCGCCTATTGCAACCATGCTTATTTACATATCTTAGTTTTAAATCAAACATTTCCATTAATCTAATATTTTTTGAGGTAATTTAACATGTCGTGAACCAAACGCCTTATGGGATGTGGTGAGAAGGAAAAAAAAAAATTCAATTGATCCAATCAATCACACTTTCTTTATGGGTGTTGGCTCATTGACACCATGAGTTAACTAACTTATCAGTTATTAATTTACCTATTTAGGTTTTATACCTTTATACTAGGAAAAGTGAAATAAATATCACGTATAATAATTCAATTTGTACCATCTTTTATGTAATTTTAAATATATAATAACAAAATCCTTATTAAAGACTTATACTCTATCCATCTCATTTATGTGTGTAGTTTGATAAATAAAGTTTGACTAAAATTATTTTTAATTCAATTTTTCATAATATTAATTTTAGTATTAGTATATATGAAGTAAAATTTATATATTTAGAAACTATATTAAAAATATTATTAAATATATAAAAAAAAATAAATTTAAAAATAGAGTTAGTTCATTTTTCGTTATAGATTTATATGTGGCAGTCCATTTTAAGTCATTCTTTTTTATAACATTCATCTATTGGTCCTAGTATTATTGTGACATGACTATTTTTTATCCTTCGCAAAAAAATGTTGAATTGTTGTTAAATACAAGGCCATTTTGATTATTTTTTTTTTAAATACAAAGTGAGTCGACTCGGTATATTTTTATTTTTATTTTGAAAAAAAAAAGCATAATTGAATACCTAAATGTCCTTGTATTTTATGGAATTTAAACGGTTTTATTGATGAAAGACAAAAAATGATCATATCAGAATAATATTAGGATCAAAAGGGAATGTTTTGAAAAAAGAGTAAAAGTAGATTACCATCTATAAATTTAGGACCAAAAATGAAATTAACTCTTTAAAAATAATTAAAAATTACTAAAGAAAAAAAATGAAAAGTAGTGATTTAACAAATGAATAGTAAAGATGACAAGTAAATAAAATAGAGGGTAACTAATATGATTGAATGATATAATTAATAATCTAAGAAGTAAGAACCATGCATGTCTAGCCAAAACGTATTTTTAGTAAAGATTTTTTTTTTTGTTTGTTTTTTGTTTTTTTTGTTTTGTTTTTGTTTTTGTTTGTTTTTGTTTTTTTGTTTTGTTTTTTTTTTTTGGAATCTTCCAAAGTACATAAGTATATTACACAATAAATCCCCAGGTACACAAGAAGTGCCTTCCCATCCTTTTTGGTTCTCTATTTCTATTCTCCCCTTTAATTATTTATTTTTGGGAGTGGGGGTGGGGGAGGGAGGTTAAAAAAGATATTTATATTTGACAAAATATTAAAATATAACTATATGGTCATTATTAGAGTTTAGATCTTTAGTAATGTAACACTAGATTTATGATAATGTTGGACAATATATAAATAGTAAATGTAAATACAAATTTGTGACACTATCATAAGTCACATAAGTTTGAGACATTTATATCATGTTTAGCAAATGAAAAAAAAAAAATCTACTTATCAAATTAAAAAAAAAAAACAAAAAGGAAATATGGAATTTATTGAATTCAACTATTCAAGATGAAATGCTCTCCAAATTACAAAATAAATAAAAACAAATTCTTCATTTTTCTAACTTGAATAATACTTTTATAATAAAAATTTTGAATAATAAAAATAATAATTTCTTTGCATTTTTTTTTTTTACATAATAATTCTCTACACTTTTGCTTTCCAATTAGAAGAATAAAAATTATAGAAAAAGTGAAATGTTGGAAACAATTTCCATTACTGAACTAGCCCTAGACTTTTTGCACATTTGAAAAGGGTGCTAATTTTATTCTTTTTTAGTACTACTAACTCTGTTAGTAGTAAACCTACTGAAGTATAAAGGGCTCAAACTTGTGACCTCCCATTTGAGAGAGTCACATCCCACAATTATGTCGCTCGACCACAAGATCTTTGGCAAAATTACTCACCTATTGCAAGGTTGGTAAACCAGACAATGCGATATATTTTGAAAATAAGTTGAAATTACAAGGATGGAAGAGAAAATATCAGGGAATGGAATTATAACAAGATAATAGGAAGACTCAATTTTAAAAATGAAAAAGTATATCAGAATATAGATATAGTCTCAACTTTTCGTTAACATTAGATAAATAAAATTTGTTTACAATATTATAAATTTTTAAAGAAGTGATAATGACATTGTTATTAAACAGTGAGCATAAAAGTATAAAACCATTAAGCAATTTACAATAAAACAATGTCCCCTCCTCTACTTAGTAACATATACTCCGAATAATCGAATATGCAACTAAACTAACCTCTACTTCACTCTATGGGCTTCCGACTTGGCAACAATCATATTCTCTCCTCTCGTTGGAGTTGCAGAATTGGCGACCATCTTCCCCGCTTTCTCCCTTTCCACTATAATCTCAGGTACTTCAGCTTCCAACAAACCAACCAAGAAAATTTTGTAAAGAATGCTTCTTTTTTTTTTTTTTTTTTTTTTGAGTTTTATTGATTTTCTGAATGACGGGGTTTGTCTATTTGTGGGTCTGTTCGTACCCATTGCCCGGAAAATGAATGGGGCATCTTTTGAAATGCGTATTATTTTTGGGGGAAAATTGTTTTCTTGATTCTGTGAATGGCCAGATTGTGTATTTGCTTGTAGTTGTAGGTACTACAGTGGTAGAAATCAAGAGGAAATGGAACAAGTGGTTATTGATGGGTCAGAGTCAGAGGTGGTGGTGGGTAACACTGTGTCACTCCACAAGAAAATATGTGCTATTCGCAGTGCAGGACCTTCAAAGCTCCAGGTTTTCTTACATTTGCGTTTTTTATGGTATGAGTTACTTTAAAGAATTGATCAATGCATGTGATTTGTGGTCCAATTTCTGTTTGGTTTGCTTAACTGGATGGTGTTTTGACAATTTTGTTTGCTAGTTTTGTTAGTTGGGAACAAATTTTGCTGTTGTGTACTTGTGTTGATGCATGAACATGATTAAGTTCACTGTGATTTAAGGGTATAGTTTCCAAATGTTTGTTTAAGGAATGGCGATGGATGGAAGCTCATCGAAACATGAATGGCCTCAAACGCTTTAGGACAGGGTAGAGGTGAAACAGAGTGAAGTAGCAAAGAGATACACAATAACCCATAGGAATTCAGATAGCCCCAAAAATTGGATGGAAGCTTCTCAAATGTCGCCTAAGCTGCCATAACTCCATTCAATTTTTCCTTGATTAATATTTTATCATTCCACACTTGTACACACTTGAATGAAAGGATAATAATACCTAACGGCTATTTGGTGACTATGCTTTATAGCGGTGAGCATTGGGTAGTGAAGCGAAATGTCTATAATTCTATAAACATGACTTTAACTGAGTTGAGAATGCTAAAAAAAATTGTATAATTTCAAAAAAGGAATATATTAGGAAAATACTTTATTTGTATAAGATGCGTATCTGTAGTATTCTTTTTAATAGGAAAGGATGGGGAGCATGAGGGCAAGGGAAGGATGTAGGATAGACATTTGTTGTACTCCGTATTTGTTTCTAGCAAGATGGTACTTTTTATTCTTTTGGTGTTCTCCTCGTATCTTCAGTGTAATTGTGAATTGTTTTTAGTATTTTTGGATGGGAATACTGGCAGATTCTGTGATTAACACTTTTAATTCTACATACATACATACATACATACATATATATATATATATATATATATATATATATATATATATATATATATATATATATATATATATTTCATTGTGAATTTTAATGTTTTTCCATTCTATTGCTCCATCCACAATTCCACATACTGTTCATATGATGATTTATAAATCACTAGGTAATTGCGGATTTTGATGCAACCTTAACGAAATTTTGGATAAATGGATATCGAGGGCAAAGTAAGTGACCAAGTTTGACTATTTTTTTAATGGGGCAATGAGATTATTAGGTACAAATGTAGGCATTTTGATCAGGGGCGGTTTATTACAAAAGAATGTATATTTTTATTTCCAGTCTCAAGTGAGTGACATGTTTAAAACAAAATCTGTAGGCAGTCATAGCCTTTTGCAACAGGATGATCCGGGATACAATATCAGGAGGCAGAATTTATATGACTATTATCATCCATTAGAATTTAACCCAGCAATACCGCTTGATGAGAAAGCCAAGCTCATGGAAGAGTGGTACGTGTCTTGGCTACTGTAACCTTCCAATGCACTTTGTGAAACTCGCGAGCTTCTTTGAATAATAATGCTCTGTGCTGTAGACTCGTAAATTTAGTATCTGAATTCTCTATTAGCTCGAAGGCCCATCTTTTAATTTGATAATGTTTGAATAGAGTGTACTTTGGTTTTAGTATCTGAAAGTTCGGACTCATTTCTGCAGGTGGGGAAAAACACATGGCCTCCTTATTGAAGGAGGTCTTACATATGACGCTATTAGGAATTCCGTTGCAAATGCCAATATTGCTTTCAGAGATGGTGTTGTTGAACTTTTCGAACTTCTAGAGGTGAATTTTTATCTATCAGATGCTGTTCTTTTGTTTTTGACTCTTGTAGATATTTCTGCCATGTACCAACCAAACATCATTTGATGCAACGAGATTTCATACTTTAATGTTAAACGAGTTAATACCCAATTTAGTCCTCAACTATAGTGGTTTAATTTTTCTCGATTTTGTCCTAAATGACTTTTTGTGCTTAACTGAGTCTTGGACTTTGATGGTTTTACCTAATTGAGTCATCTGCCAGGCCTTCCATCTGTTGGCTGTTAGAATCAAGGACTAAATCGAGAAAAACAACTATAGTCGATTCCTCATTGGGCAATATCACTATACTCGAGGACTAAATTGGGTATTAATAGAGGGGAAATTACCTAGCTATCTTAACTGAGGACTTAATTAGGTAAAACCATCAAAGTCCAGGATCCAATTAAGCACAAAAATTCATTTACGAAAAAAATCACTATAGTTGAGGACTAAATTGGGTATTAACTCGATGTTTTAAACTAATGGTAAAATAAAAAATTTAAACATTTATTTGGTACAACCAATTATGATGCCTAATTATGTACAAAATGGAAAGGATTGGCAATTAAATTGGTGGAGTTTTTTCTGCGATAACTTGCAGGAGAGAAATGTGCCTGTTCTCATATTTTCTGCTGGTCTAGCTGACATAATAGAGGAGGTTAGTTCTTAAGGCCCTCTGATGAGTTGCTTGATAGTGTACAAAAATAGACGTTATTAGCAAGGCCGCCCAGTTTGGTTTTACGTGTGATGCCTTTTCTCTTTTTTTGCCAGGTGCTAAGGCAGAAACTACGTAGATCATTCAAGAATATCAGGGTTGTATCCAATAGGATGGTGTTTGACGAGAATGGCAACTTACTGCGTTTTAAAGGTATCATTCTCGTTCACATAATATTATGAGCTAAACAGTTGGCTTCAAAATGAACCCTTGTATTTCGTAAACAAGTCGCTTTTGCTATATTGGTGAATGTTTAGATTCACTTGCTTTGTTGGACAGATAACGAGCTTATTCCGTGTGTTGTCTATGACTAGATCATGCCCTAAGCAGCATCCGATGTGTTTTGCAGGTAAGACGATTCATGTTCTTAACAAGAACGAGCATGCACTTGACATGGCTGAGCCTCTTCACGATCAATTTGGCGAAGACAAGGGAAGGAGTAACGAGGAATCTTCCCTAAAGCAGAGGACTAGCGTTTTGCTTCTTGGTGACCACATCGGAGACTTGGGAATGTCTGATGGTTTGAATTATGAAACGCGAATTTCTGTTGGTTTTCTGTAAGTGGAATCTGCTTTATCTCACCAATAAAACTTATATATATCATATTTCTGCACACTCCCTCTACCTTCCAGAGCTCCCGTAAATAAGAACATGAAGTTGCCTGATATTCGAAAGAAATTATTGCAGCAACCACAACATCGAGGATTCCCTCGATAGCTACAGGAAAGCATTCGACGTCCTCTATCTGGTATATCACCTATTTTTGCTTTTCTTGAGACTTGTTCTCACATTAGAACTGTTGGGCAGAGGCCGGTGAAGGGCCAAGTCCAGCACCCTGCCTCTTGAAAATGTAGCGGTATATAAGCACTCGATCCTAACAAGAAAATATCTAAATCCATAAGAACGGTCCTACTTGTTTCCTTCCTTTTATCTGTTCTTATTTCATCGTGTCGCAGAACGATGCTTCCATGCATGGAGTAGTCAAGCTGGCCTCTCATCTGTGTTCTACATGAACAACATTAAACTGCAGTCTACAACCCCATCACAGAAATGAAAAGTTTTTTTTTTTTTTTTTTTTTTTTTTTTTTTTTTTTTTTTTTTTTTTTCTTTTTTATGTTGGTTTAGATGCATTTCCTGGTGACTGGTTTTCCTAATATAGCAGATTTTGGGCTACATTCTGTTAAAAATAATAGTGCCCTGTAAGTTTTCTCATTATAAGGGCCCTTTTATAGGGCTCAATTTGTGAAATGAACAAAATTATATCATGGACCTAGTTCATGTTATAGTATGGATTTAGGTTCACTAAAATAATACTGTAAATTTATCACAAATTCAATACTACTGCTGGTTTATTGGAATGGGAAAAAAGATTGAAATGTGAAGGTAGAGGCTTGTATTTTCCAAAATGTGAATGTCCATTTTTGTGGACAAAAATATGAAAAAGAAGTTTGGGACATGCGTTTGATGTTAGAAGTGGTCAAATCACAAACACCACAAACGCAAGTCCCACTTGCGTTTTTTTTGTTTTCTTTTCTAAATTTGGTCGCCAGCGAAGCTGCGGGCAACACCCTTCTCCAGCGAAGGAGAGGGCCACCGCCACTGGTTACCTTCTCCTTCGCTGGAGAAGCCTTCTCCAGCGAAGGAGAAGGCCACTGCCACTGGTTGCCTTCTCCTTCGATGGAAAAGGGTATCCACCAAATTAAAAAAAAAAAAAAATGGACTTGCGTTTGTGGTTTGACCACTTTTGACATCAAACTCATGTCTCAAACCTCTTTTTCATATTTTTGTCCACAAAAAATGGAATTCACATTTTGAGAAATATATCTCTCTACCTTCACATTTCAGTCTTTTTTTCTATTGGAATGATACTAATTGATGAATCATCGTTTAAATAAATTATTTTCTATTTATATAAATAAAATCAATGTATAAAAATATATTGCTAAAAAATTTCATTGGGAACTTTTAAATGATACTAGTTGTGATTTTTTTTTCTTCTTTTAATATATGGTTTAAATAGTTGTATGATGGACCTATGTAAGTAAATTAGAGAGTTAAAGGGACATATAGTAGTAAGGGTTTTTTTTTTTTTTTTTTTTTTTTTTTTTTTTTTTTTTGGTGCGCGACATATATTAGTAAGTTGATTGACTTCTTCTCCCATAAGTTGATTGACTTCTTCTCCCATAAGTTGATTGACTCGATGGATCTACATTAATGTCTTAATGGATTTACAACAGTACGTTGATGATTCTGTAATTTCTTTCTCACTTAGGGCCCATTTGAAAATTTGGAAAATATTTGCAATTTTGCTGGTCGAAAAATAATTTAATTTTTTAATGTTTGACTGAAGATTATAAAATTATATATATTTTTTTGGCTGAAATTTTTAGAAATTGTATTTTTATGTTAGGTTCATTTTCTTAAAAATAAACATATTATTTGTTATAATAATAATAATAATAATAATAATAATAATAATAATAATAATAAGTGGTAATGGTGGTTGTGTGGTGGTGGTGGGGTTGTGTTGGTGGTGGTGGCATTGGTCAATCGGTTAGCAAATTGAATTGTGAATTGCACAGGTTTTAGCTCCCCCATATTTAACTTTTTATAAAGAGACAGGGGCATTACATTAACTCCTGCTCCTAGATCACAAAGTGATCTATTGATGGTGGAGCCACTAATGTATAGCCACCGAAGAAATAAAATTTGAATCCATGTTAGTATATAAACCTATGTCCATGATATAACAATTGGGCAGTCTAAGCTAGGCTAGTATGATATTTATATTATCTGAGTTTTGAATTTGCTAAGAAAAGTATATGGCATAATGTGAAACTAAAATATAAGAGTTTACATATTTAATCATAGTCAATGGCGGATCCAGAAATCTTCTCCAGTACAAACAAAAAATTAAAACTAACGATTATTTTTTTAAAATGAAACACTTAGAGACAAGTCATAAATATTGTTGACTAGAGATGAAAGATCAAAACACATCAAGATAAAAAAAAATATTTAAAACCTAAAACATAATTAATTAGATAAAATAGTTTGAATGGAAAACACATTATAAATCACTCATCTAACTATTAATATAAAAAATAAAAAATAAAAATAAAAATAAAAAGAGAAGAAGTCACAATGTTACAAATAAAAAATCCAATTAGAATTCTCACTATTAATATTAAAAAATGCCAAAAACAAAAGTTCACTCATCTCACTATTAATATTAAAAAATGAAAGAAAAAAAAAGTCACAATGTTACAAACAGGGCCGTTCCAATAAAAATTGGGGCCCTGTGCAATATCTTAATTTCGATCATTTTTTCATAAGTGATTTCTATATATAAATAATAGTTATGATGTTCAAAAAGTTATATCAACATATAAACTGTTAGGAATAAATTGTAATAGATTTTGATATGCCATATTGTAATTCGTAGATCCCCAATTTTATTTTATTAGACTAGTCGAGTCATAGACCAAGAAAGGGAAAAATAAATTCATTAGTTGAGGAAATAGATGAAGAAGATATAAAGCCTAAAATCAAGAATTTGCCTAGAGAAAATTGCAAAGGAGGATGTATGCGAATGATATTCAAGAAGAAATCCCTCAAGAAATCCCGAAGAAGAAAGAACGTGACTTGAAGTTTGCATGAAGAAGATCAAGCATCTATGGAAAGAAAGGAGTACACCAAGTGAAACAAGAAGATAACCAAAAGGTTGTACGGATGAGATGGTAGAAGCTTGAAATACTATATGCAAGGTTATAGGTTTGAATCTCACATCCCACATATTTTAAAGAAGCCAAGTTTAATTCCATCAGTTAAAGTATGAGGCGATGGTTTGGCCTGAAGTTTCCCAAATTGCTATCCCAAAATTGAAATAGGGATGCAATTTCAGTTCAAATTGAAATTGCTATCCCAAAATTGAAATAGGGATGCAATTTCATCTGAAGGGTTGAAGTTCGAAATCGGAGATATAAATTACAAAGGATTTGGAGATATAAATTACAAGGATGAGATTGCAAGTCCAAAACAAGTAAGGGATGAGATGGAAGTTGGAGATATAAATTACAAGGGATGAGATTGCAAGTCCAAAACAAGTAAGGGATGAGATTTCAATTGACAAATCTAGCAAGGGATAGAGATTTCATTTCTCAAAATAGCAAGGGATGAAGTTTCACAAGGGAAGAGATTTCTCAAGTCAATTGAAGAGATGAAGTCTGGAAGCAGTATACAGACCCAGACGTGAAGTACAGAGGAAGACCCAGACGTGAAGTACAGAGGAAGACCCAGACGTGAAGTACAGAGGAAAGACCCAGACGTGAAGTACAGAGGAAGACCCAGACGTGAAGTACAGAGGAAAATATAAGACCCAGACGTGAAGTACAGAGGAAAATATAAGAAGAAGTTGCAGAAGCAAAAATACTAGTCTAACTAGTAAGGGATTATATTGGAGATTATATTTTGAAGATAAAAATCCCAACAGGCGTGATCTACACCAGATGGAGATTCATGGGACGCCATTTTTGCGAAAACCTCAAGCTCAACTTGCAGAGAAATCTCTGACATATCTGCAACGTTATCTTATCCTCTGACAAAAGGCTATACAGCTGGATGAAATTCAAAAATGAGAACGTTTCTCTCCAACGGAAATATTCTCATTACCAGCTATAAATAGATGAAGATTGAAGCTGAGGAAAGCAGAAGCAAGAATACAAAGAGCAAAGAACAGAGCTAAACAGAGCATAGAAAAATCAAAGAAAGCTTTCCATCTCAAGAGCTAATATTGATATATTCTTTGTGAGAAAAACACTCAGAGTGATACAGAGCTTAGAAAAGAAATATCCAAGAGTGTTAAAATCTTTATCAACTTCAAGAGACTCAGCGCACCATTGAAGATCATCTACAGAGTCTCAAAGTTGGAATCAAGGGAAAACTTGTTTTTGAGCAAAACAAGGGAAATGAGGAAAGTAACACGGAGTTGTGAAATCCTGGATTGTCACACGGAGCTGTGAGATCCGAAGCAGCAGTGTCGGAGGACATTGGGCGTGATTAGTGCGGGCTTTGTGATCAAAGCACTAGATCACGGAAGATACGTTTCTACCGGATCGTAGAAGACGGGGGGAAAGTAACGCGGAGTCGTGAAATCCTGGGAGAGTAACGCGGCGACGTGAAACCCGAAGCAGCAGTGTTGGTGTCACTGGGCGTGATTAGTGTGGGCTTGGTGATCAAAGCACTAGATCACAGAATTCATTGTATCTTGGAACCAAGAAGTGGTGGATATAGTGAATTAGCTCTTGGAGAAAAGAGCAAGTGGAGTAGGAGGATTACACCACCTCGCGAACCACTATAAATTGCCTTGTGTTCTTTACTGCTTTCTTTATTTACTGCTCTTGCTTGCTTCTCACGAGAATAATCTTGACACGATATACACACACACCGTATCGTTTATTAATTTTCGCTGTGCACCATACTCTAAGAATCTAGTTAAGAGTTTTGGTTTATCTCTGGCTTAGCAATTGTGGTATTGTGCTAAAAAGTTTGAAAGTCTATTCACCCCCCCCCCCCTCTAGACTTTCACCTTACCTCTTTTGGGACCAACAATTGGTATCAGAGCTGGTGCCTATCCGAGTCAGAATTTGTCTTTTACTGATACCAACAATTGGTATCAGAGCAGGCTGTATATTTAGGCTAATTTGCTTTCAAAGCACGTTGCCTAATTGGGTCAACCAGTTTCTGACTGCTAGGCAGATCCATCTTACCCAGTGTGTGTAAATTTGATTATTTATCTCTCGTATCCACCGAGAAGATGAATAAAGATTTAGCTCAAAATCTATTATTCTCGCTTGATAAATTTGATGATTGGAAAGTTCGTATGCAGGTTCATCTATCAGCTTTACACGATGAAATGTGGGAAGTTATTTCCACTGGCCCGATCAAAATATTGAAAGTAAATACGGCTTTTCTTTTATCTCCGGATGCTCAACAATTCGTACCAAAGCCAAAACCGGAATGGACATCGGATGATAGAAAGAGGAACAGTCTTGACAACATTGCCAAAGATATTCTGTTCAAAGCCATTGATGATACAATATTCCCAAAAGTGCGAAAATGTACAAGTGCAAAAGAAATTTGGGATACTCTCATCAAGATCAGAGAAGGAGATGAACAAGAAAAAGATAACAAGCTCACTATTGCTATGAAGAAGTTCGAGGACTTCAAAATGCTCTCAAATGAATCCATTGTTGATATGGAAGCTCGAATGATCAAAATCCTTGGAGAAATTAATGACCTTGGAAAAAATATTAGCCAAAAGGAAATTAATCTCAAAGTTCTACGAGGCTTACCATCT